TTATTAGAAAAAATAGGAACCAATGAGACACTTGACACGACATTATTTTGGGCACTCTAAATTTGTCCTAAGTTAAAGTTTTACATTCATTTATACGTGTCCAAGTCAAATGTCCCACCAAAACGGTCTGTTTCATGTTTTCTGTATTTTCTACAAAGAGAGTGGATTACTTTCACAACGTGAAAATTCTTTTTTTCAATCAGCCATGTGTTAATGTGAAAGGACACAGAGATCAAGTTTGAAAAGATTCTGTGAATAAAAGGAATTTATGTTTCCAGGAAGAAGTAGAAAAGAGCACTATAGATAGAGGTTAAGAACGTGCAGTTTGCAACCAGTCTGATCTGGGCAGGAATCCCAGCTTTAACATTTACTAGCTCTGTGATCTCGGACAAATTATTTACCGTTTGCGAACCTCAGTTTCTCTTTTATAAAATAGATGTAATAATAACTTGTTAAGACTGACCATTAACAAAGATACTGCACGTAAAGCAAGTCACACAGAACCTGGCACATAGGAGCCCTCCAAACACAGCTATCCTTAGGAAGGACTTTAATCACCTCCACGTTCCCAGCGCCTCCTACAGTGCCCAACACAGAGCTGACACCCAAAGATAGGTTTTGGGGGTGAGGGCTGATGCTGTGCCTCGGGAAGAAAAGGCACACCTATCCTGATGTTGATGGCTGGGTCTGGAAGAGTACGTGGGAATTTAAGCTTAGGAAGTGTGGCTTCCAGGCCAGAAACGGCAAAAATCAAACGTCCGAACCCTGAGTCTGGTCAGTGAGGACAGTCGGGAGCGAGCCCCAACGGCCCGGACCGACTGTGCGTGCGTCAGCCTGAATCCCGAAGGCGCATCCTGTGCTCGGTCCCGTCGATCGACCTGATCGGGGATCGTCCATTCTGTTCTGGCTGTGGGAGGTGTTTTCGTTCTCGCGAGGCTTCAAACTAGGCGGCTGGGGAAGAGGCGGGCCCGCTGGAGAAAGAGGAGGAGCGTGAGGCGGCGGCACGCATCGTTCCCAGAAGGCTGTGGGGGTCCCTCGCTTCCTTCGCGACTTTCCGAGCGAGCGCGTGAACCGCTCCCTGCAGGCTGGCCATGGCGCTTCACGTTCCCAAGGCCCCGGGCTTTGCCCAGATGCTCAAGGACGGAGCGAAAGTAAGGGATGGAGGAAGGGGGTGCGGTGAGAGAGAGTCGGCATAGGGCTGCGGCGGCCGCAGCAAAGAAGGAGGGCCTACTAACGGGCTGGGCGTGCTCCCCTGGCACAGCGGTCGGGGGAAGATTCCAGAAACGGAGGTGTTTTCGGGAGGGCTCGGGCGTGGAGGTCTGCGGACACTTCCATTCTTCCTCGACCTGGGGGAAGGCCGAGGGGGAAAAAGTGATGGTCGAGGGGTTAAGGCCGCAGGATTCGTGCTCTATACTTTCTAGTTGGGCAGACATAAGGCCACTCATGCATTTTTTCTTCATTCGCAAAATGGGGCTGGTGAGGCCCTCCACCCTGAAAGGGTATTGTGAAGGTGAAGTTGAATAATGTAAATGAAATTGCTGTTGGGAACTGCAACGTGATTGACACACAGTTCGCGAGTTACAGAATGGGAAGGGACAAGAAGCCGGCGATCTAGAGAGGAGAGCGTAGGAACAGGTTGTTTCCTTCCAAGTGAGAAATAGAGGCTTCCAGTTTAGTTCTCAGAAGCAGTGCGTTGTAGCCAACTGCATTCCAGTCTCCCAACTTAATGTTAGCAAGCTTGACCTAAAACGGACCTCTTTCCTCATCTTTAAATTGAGGAGATTGGACCAAAAGATGGTATCTTTGAGTTCTGCCTTAAACCTGTGTGACCCACAAGATAAGTTATGCCTTAGCCCAAATAACAATATTTTGTTTTATGATCTGGTCTTGATGTAATTTCAGGAGCGTGATTTAAAAAAGAAAATCTTATTGCAGTATTGATAAAATATGGCTTTTTGGCTGTTCAAATAGTGGTGTTCCTTTATTTGTCCTCCATATTTTCTGTGTTTAATTAAAGAAATAGATCATTGTGATTGAATTTAAGGTTGTATGGGAGGTAGAGGGAGCATTAACAGTATTAGGGAGCTTGTTTGTAGGATGCATTTTTGAAATATTTTGGGGTAGGGCATGTAATCTCAGCACTTTGGGAGGCCACGGCAGGAGGATTCCTTGAGGCTAGGCATTTCAGACCAGCCTGGGGAACACAGCTGAACCCCGTCTCTACAAAAAAAATTTTTAAATTAGCTGGACATGGTGTCGTGCACCTGTAGTCCCAGCTATTGGAGAAGCTTAAAATGGGAGAATCACTTGAGCCCAGGAGTTCAAGGCTTCAGTGAGCTATGATGGTGCCACAGCATTCACATCTGGGAAATAGACTGTGTCTCTCATAAAAATTTTTTTAAAAAGATAATGACATTGACTGCTTCCCTAAAAAAAAAAAATCATAGCTTCCAATTTGAATTGTTTTTTTACTAAGATAGGTTTGGAAAATTTATGTATTACAAAGCATCATTTAATTGTCATTCAGATACTAGTGGTTTTCTGCAGAACACTGAGATGTTCTATTTGGTAAATAGGTACTGAAGGAACTGCAGTGAAAGAGAAAAGTCTCAGCTCTCCTAGAGTTTGTGTTCTTCTGAGACAGAAATAATAAATGATCAAATAAGGAAATTCTCAAATAATGGTGAAGGAAATAAACTATACTATAGTAGAGAATGACAGGAAATAAAAAGTCTGTCTTTAAAAAGAAGGATTGGGGTAGACAAAATGATTAAATAAAATGTTCAGGGAAGAACTCTTAAGTCAATGCTGAGTGACAGAAGGAATTAGCCAAGATGAGAGGGAGGAAATGTTCCAAGCTGAGGAACCAGCTGGTACAAATACCCTGAGGATGGAATGAATTTGACTTTTTTAAAAAAACAAACAACAACAAAAATAGGTGACAGAGCTGCAGTTTACCGAGGGAAGATAATAATGGTAAATTCAGAGGAGGAGAGGAGAACATACAGGGCCTTGTATCCCTGAAGAGAGATTTGCATTTTATCCTAAGAATGATGGAAAGCCCTTGAAAGGTCTTAAGTATGATAGTGATGGGATCTGATTTGTGATCGGTTGGCCATTTCTGGGAAAATGGAGGTGAGGGGAAGGAAGAGTATAAGCCAGGTCGTACTTAAATTCTGTTGTTGGGAGTTCAATACTTCTAAAGTAGTGGCTATTAACCTTGTTTGGATCACAGTTCCTTTTGAGGATATTATAAAAACCATGCCTTATATTTTAGAGCAGTACTATCCAATAAACTTTCTGCAGTGCTGGAAATTTTCTGTATCAGCACTGTCTAATATGATAACCACTAGCCATATAGCTACTGGGCACTTGAACTGTGGTTAGTGCAATTGAAGGACCAAGTATTTTATTTTAATTACTTTAACTAGCCGCAAGTGGCTAATGGCTACTGTATTGGGCAACACAACTCTAGGAAAATGTTTACATGAGCAATAGGCTCATGAAACCTCTCTGAGTCCCCAGATAAAATCTCAACTGTGAAAAAAAAGTGTAAATTTGAGAATTTCAGTATTGTGAGCAATTCAGTTTTTTAATATCCATACAGTGAAATTGTAATTCAAAAGGGCATTCAATCATCTGTGTACTTTAGTATACAGTAAACACTTGAGGGGCAGATACTTTTAAGTGGGAATTCCCAATGAACATAGAATTGCTGGCTTTACAAAGCCCAGGTTCTAACACAACAAGAAAAATATACCATGTTTCTACTTTTAGTTAAAAAATACTGATAAACTCTGGGAGGGTATTTTACCTAAAATGCCTCATATTCTTTATGTGATCACTCTTAGCATGCTTCCCTGTATGTTACATTTTAAAAAATAGTAGGTCCTATGATTCGATGTGTAAGTAGGTACCTGCGGTTCCTTAAAATGTCATGCTTTATTCATTCAACTAGTGAGGATATTTATGGATTCTTTATTAATATCAAATGCCATGTTTTACATACATAAATCTTGTTTGTTTCAGCAGTACGTGAGGTAGGTACTATTATTATTACCTCCATTTTACAGATGAAGAAATGTTAGGGAAATTGCCCAAGGTCACGTAAGTTAATTAGCCAGAAAGCTAAGAATTGTAACCAGCTCCCATATGCCAAATATCTAAGCTATTCTGCCTCTTTATTAGAAGCAAGATAAGCAAAGACCTTGTATTTGAAAATTCTTATTTCACTGTCCTCTCTAATTAGAAGTTTTTTTTTTTTTAACAGCATTTTTCAGGATTAGAAGAGGCTGTGTATAGAAACATACAAGCTTGCAAGGAGCTTGCCCAAACCACTCGTACAGCATATGGACCAAATGGTAATTTCTAAATTCATGTTTTAAAATATACAGTAATAGAATTATGTGTACTAGCTCGTCTTTCAAGTTTATTCCAAGGATATTATATTTACAGTATGGCTTTGAAAGTTAATTTCATAGTATATTGATACCAGTACAACATTTTTAATCAGCAACTGGCATCTCTTTAGAAGAATAGAAATCAAAATAATGTTTTTTATCCTGTTGAGAGGATAGAAAAATAATAGCCCTTTGACTATTTTGATACTACCTAATGTTCATTGTGACAAACACTGAACAGTTCTTTAATAAAAAGTGACATTATAGTTTAAGGGAGAAAATTCTCTCATTTTTGCCTTCTACCACCTATCGAAATTGATGGATTTATGGAATGAACATAAAACTAAATTTACTGTTAAGTAGATTATTTTAGTCTTTTTACGTTAACATAATTCGTGTTTATTGAGCACTTGTTGCAGCCAAGA